AGAGAGCGAAAGTGAGAGAGATCACAGAGGGAGAGAGAGACACAGACTTGCCGCGGATCAGGGAGCCCGATGCAGGGCTTGATCCCAGGACCCTGAGATCATGACCTGAGCTGAAGCTTAACCGACTGAGCCACCCAGGCACCCCCCTTATTTGTTTTTTCATTTGTTTTTCTTTTTAGATTCTACACAGAAGTGAAATAATACAGTATTTGTTTTTCTCTGTCTAATTTATTTCACTTAGTATAATACCCTTTATGGCCATCTATATCACAAATGATAAGATCCCATTCTTTTTCATGACCGAGTAATAATCCATTGTGTGTGTGTGTGTGTGTGTGTGTACCCCCCACACCTTCTTTATCCATTCATCTATTGATGGACACTTCAGCTTCTTCCATATCTTCGCTATTGTAAATTATGCTGCAATGAACATAGGGACAGAGGACACGAATAGACATTTTCCCAAGGAGACATATTGTTGGTCAACAGAAAGAAATGGTTCTCAAGATCATTAATCATCTGGTAAATGCAAATCAAAACCACAGTGAAATAATACCTCACACAGGTCCGAATGGCTAATATTAAAAGGACAAGAAATAACAAGTGTTGGTGAGGATGTGGAGAAAAGGTTAGCCTTGTACACTGTGGTGGGAATGTAAATTGGTGCAACCACTGCTGAAAACAGGGTGGAGTTTCCTCAAAAAATAAAAAAAAAGTAGTATTACCATATGATCCAGAAATTCCACCATGGGTATTTACTAAAAAAACAAAAACAAAAAAAACACCTCAAACACTAATTTGAAAAGATATATTCACCCTTGGTCAAAGTTCTGATATTCGACGGGGGATTGTACTTCCTGGACTATCTGAGATAAGTTCTATATTTCACCACTCCAATATGGATCCATTAGCTTTGGTAGATGCTGGAGCAGGGGCAGTGCTGAGAGTTTCTGAGGACCTGAGGAACCCCAAACTAAGATTTATTCTCACATATATGGACATCCCATCTGATGAGTTATAGGAACACCAATGGGAAGGACAATACTTCCTCTCAGAGGGTAGTTTAGATTCTGCTTTAGCATATAGATTAATGGACTATGAAATTTTCTTGCATAAAGCACCGTCAGAAAAATGTGAACATGAGACATTTTAAGGTGGTAACCATACCCTCACTTTGGCTTGAAAAATCTCAATGACGTACTCTTAGAATGCCTACCTCTGAGCATTATATTTTCCAGTGGGTTCTCTAAAATAAACTATTTATGGGTTATAGCTCTGATTTATTTTGCGGTCATTATTAAATATCTGCTATAAGTAACTATTGTTATTTTTTTGAGATAGTGGGCTTATGGTCTATTTATGTCACTTTTAGCATGTGATTTTAAATCTTCTGATGTGCCTGTGGTAGAAAGCTTCTATTTGTTTTCTTTAACAGGAAGAAAGGATCCAGTTCAGCAAAAGTCAAAACAGATTTCAAGAATTTAAAGGAGTGGAGTAGTGTCATGGGAACATAACCCTGTTTTAACCCAGATAATAAAATTATGATTTGATTTGTCAAAAAACCATTTTTATTGCTCTTGACCCTTGTAGTTCCCTAATACTCATGGTGTGTCTGCTATGTGTACAGAACAATATTCTGGGGAAAATGGGGGATATAGGATATGGTAGCTGGAACCCTATTTGGGAAAATAACAAATATATTTCTGAAATGTTAGAAAGAAATACAACAGAAAAAAAGACATTCATGGATAGTTGAGGAATGACCACAGGGCAATCATCAATTAAATCAAAAATTTAGGAACAATCAGTGCAAATACCAAGAAAACTCTGGAGACCAAAATTTGCTGAACTACCTTCACATCATAAAGATTTAGCGTTGGTTCTGTATCTTGATGTGTACATAAGATGATGATTTTGAATTCCTCTGAAAAGGATTTTTTAAATACAAGAAATGTTCTAATCAAACATAGATTTTAAAAAATCAAAACAAGTAGCACTCATGGTGTGTTATTTTTGAATCACAGCATGTCATTTTCATAGCTCTTTCCACATAATATTTGCTCCTGCTTCATGCGAGCCCTATAAAAAGACTGGGGCAGGCGTTTTTCCTGATTTACTGATGAGAACATCAAGACCTCATAAAGTTAAGAGATTTATCTCTGGTGTAGCACTGATAATATTCTAGGAATTTTATCAACTATATTTTTCTTTATATTGTAGAATTGCCGATAGGTTTAGGTAGAACAGATGACTTAACAGCTTTGTTTTCCGTGTGATATCTACAAAGTACCTTTTCAGTACCTTGTTGAGTACATGAAGGAAAATGAGATTACCAGCTATGGCCACTGCTTATATTGACAAGCTGTCTCTTTTATTTCTTTTGTATCTGGCTATTCTGTTAATTCAGTAGACAGTTAAGTAGCTTTATGTAGTCATCATCACATTGTCAAGTGCTAGGGGAGATTTATAGGACCTGTGGACATAACTGCACATGCTAAAGGAGTTTTCAGTCAATCTGGGGAAAGATCAGATGCACTCAGGAAAATGTTAAGCCACCAACCTGGAAGGCATACCATTACTTCTCAGAATGAGGGGTGGCAGGGTTCTGTATCAGTGTTCTGATGCAGGAGTGGTCCAGGTGAGGTGGGACTTCAGCGAGACTTTTACTGAGAGATTAGATTCCATGAGTGGGGAGAACTAGGGAGGCATTGAGTGGAGTGAAGCTTGATTTAGGGAACATGGAGAAATGAATTTGGGGGGAGGAAGTCATATAGAAAAATTTAGATGATAGGTTGAAGAGTTGGCGTCTGTAGGTGTTAAAAAGCCGTGAAAGAAATTTGTGTTTTGCTTAATTTCTCCATGCTATGAAGGAGCAATTTTGAGATTACCATCACAGCATTGTGATGTATTACAGTCCTGGGGTGTGGCTGAAAAACTAGAGGATTGACCAAAATTTATTGTTGTTGTTTTTTATATGAGGTTTATAAAGTGCTTTTAGCATACTTTGTATTTTGGTGAATTGTGAAATCCTAAGTGAAACTGCTTATCCCCTTGGCTATTGCTGCCTTTTTTTATATGGTGCCAAATTTGAGGCTGAGTGGGTCTGTTATTAGGATGATGGAGCTCTCTAGGCAAGAGTTCCTTTGTCAGGGAAGGTACAGCTTGCCACCCGGGTAGGTGCTTGATTACACTTTTCACGGAAGGTTCATGTGCTGCAGACACGAAAGAGGCAGGATTCTCTGCCTAATGGTTGGCCACAGGCAAGGAGACATTCTCAAGCAGTGGCTAGATGGTGCACTGTCAGGGCATCAAGCCTTGGCATCATCCCTCGCCCAAGTCTTACTCTGTTCTTGTAGGAATGAGGATATCCTCTGACATTTTTGCCAATCCTCATAAATTGAATTACTTTAGTTTCACTAATGAGAGTTTATTTCTAACATCATTTTAATTAAACAAACTACTAATTTCACCAATGAAGAGCTATTTTTGGCATTCAGTATGCTAAATAGCAAAGCCTTTGGTGTTGATCAAGATATGAATAGTTGGAAGAGATATGGATAGCTTGGAGATATGAACTGCTTGGCCAGGTCTGAAATGTGGCCCTTTCTTATGTGATTACTAGCCAATCCCAGGAATCTGAATTCTCAATTAGGGCTAACGTCCCTAAAGGTAAAGCTTAAATCTACAGATACATTGCATCTTACTGTCTATGCTGAATGATAGTTTGTGAATTTCTTAGATTAATTTATTAAACATATTATGGAAATAGCAATGCCTGTCCTTGGTTAACCCTGTTTACTTTACAGTCTCAACGTGGTGATTATGATATATATATATATATATATATATAGGTTTTGTTTTGTTTTTAATTTGCTCTTAACCTCTACCATACTGTTATTCTCTTTGCTTTCTTTATATTGATCAAAAGCTATAGGGAAATATACCTATAAGTAAGGAAAGTGTCACAAAGAGACCTAGGGCATGCATATATTAAGTGCATGCATCCTAAAATGGTTAAACATGTTATTCTGAAATCCTAATGAGCAGTTTTCCAAGGTGTTTATAAGCCTCAAAGCGGCCTCCTTTGTAAGAGTTTCACTTTGCTCCCTGGCACTAAGTGTAGTTTTGAGCCTTCTTCTCATTCTGTCCAGATTCTGTTGGTCTGCAGCTGGGAAGCACTTTCTTTGCCAGAAGATCCCTGTCCAATTCTCTTATTCTTGGCAGGTTCATTTACTTTTTCATGGTTTCAGTCCTAAACAGTTCCCAGCCTGGACCCAAGATAAGTTGGTTTCCTAGGCTTTTTGTTGTTGAAGGCAAGGACGCTAGTACTGTCCTGTGGTGCCCAAGTACAGCCTGTCCTTTGACTTTGCTACAAGTGTTTAAACCGATGTTAAAGGGACATCATATTCAAATGTCTTAAAGATGCTAGTTCAGGGAGTTCTCCGATTGAATGTCTGGATTTTCTGATCTTATAATTCCTTGCAGACCCACATGGCATCTCTAACACCAAGAAAGACTTAGATTTTGCTTTAGAAAAGAAGTTGAGACAAGTATGGTCATGAAAATGAAATGACTATGTGAAAGAATGTTTATGGGGGCGCCTGGGTGGCTCAGTTGGTTAAGCGACTGCCTTCAGCTCAGGTCATGATCCTTGAGTCTCGGGATCGAGTCCCGCATTGGGCTTCCTGCTCAGCAGGGAGTCTGCTTCTCCCTCTGACCCTCTTCCCTCTCGTGCTCTCTATCTCTCATTCTCTCCCTCTCAAATAAATAAATAAAATCTTAAAAAAAAGAAAGAATGTTTATGTTATGAGTCTACATTAGATAGTATGCAATGCTGTTTTAATGTTTTTTATATATACACACACACGTGGGTATATATATATATGTATGTATATATATGTGATAGAAAAGATGTAATAATCAAAAAAACTTCATTTTTTTCATAATTGAATTAAAATAGCTTTACATTTATTTATTTTTTTTTTCATTTTTAAATATAGCAAGATCAACTTTATACCTGGGCTGCGGTCAGCCAACCCACTCACTCACTGGATTACACAGAAGGGCAGTTTCCCAGGCGAGTCCCGTCTGTTTGGCCCCCATCGAAACCTCCTGATGAAGAACACAGGCTGCAGGATGCTGAAACAGGTGGGACCCCAGGAACCGTGCGTGTTCTGAAAGTGCGTAACATGACGTACCTATACAGTGCTCACGGGGTAGTGAGTCTGCATTTCTCTTCTAAGGATTTCTTCGATTACGATCTGCAGCTATCTCAAGTAAAATCACTGGGAGTCTTGTTAAATCGTAAGTTCTTATGCTCCACCTTCAGAATTTTAGGGAAGGGGACACTGGAATTATCCAGTTATTATTGTGTTTACAAAAGTTTGCGAACTACCGCCTCAGGGGGCCGACTGTAGCCACCACCTGAGATGATATGAGCCACATATCCTGTGTGGACTGAGAACTCCAAAGGGAAATTTCTGTCTATTGCCTTCAAAGGTGGTGTCCACCTCACTTCTCCACTCTGGCTCTCTTCCCTTACTGCTTTCCTTGTGCTTTTCTTGATCCTTTTTTTTACCTTCAGAGGTAATGGGGACATAGAGATAAAAGGTTCATTAAATCTAAATTTTAAGTAATCTTTTCAAAACTGTACAGTGTTCAGATGTATTTATTCTTCTTTAAAATTTTTCTTTTTGGTTGTTTTTCTCTTTGCATCTTTTGTTGTCTTACTTTGTGTTATTGGCTGGGAAGATAGCATGAGATTAATATCAGCTTTCTATGGAGCCTGAAAGTGGGAGAACACTTTGTGTTTGTCTTAGGAATTAAGAATCGTATTTGACTAATAATGTTTTATGAAATTTGGTTGTTTAATTCCTTTTAAAAAAATTTCCAATCGGGTATAATAAATTCCTGATTTCTTCTCTGTGGACTGATTAATAAGTGGAGAGTACATTGAAGAGCATTATTACTATTCAGAAATCTACCCCTCACCAAATTTTCCTAAATAGTAGCATGAGTGTTAGAATTAAGAATTTTGGTTTTGGGGGGCAACCGGGTGGCTCAGTTGGTCTTGATTTTGGCTCAGGTCATGATCTCGGGGTCATGAGATTGAGCCCCGCATTGGGCTCCATGCTCAGCAGGGAGTCTGCTTGAGATTCTTTCTCTCCCTCTCCCTTGGATCCTGCCCCCACTCTCTCTCTCTCAAATAAATAAATCTAAAAAAAAAAAAGAATTTTGACTTTTTTTTCTCATTGGTTTATACAGAGAAAGTCATTAATCTGGATTTGTAATAAAAGAGTACAACATAAAAGAACATGGAGCTTTGTAAACTTGGGCAAATTTCTTAATCCCTGTACTCAGTTTCCTAACATGTAAAATGTCGATAAGAATAGCATCTCCTGCATAGGGCTGTTTTGAGAATTATATGAGTTAATGCATGTTAAGGCATAGAGTTAGCATTCAGAATACAATGTCAGGCTTAGTATAAGTGTTTGCTATTGTTATCATTATTACCATTATCTGATATCTTCACTTATTACTTCCTCACGAGTTCCCTTTAAAACCAACAATGACCCACAGTGTTAAAGATTTTATTCTAGCCCCTTTCCAAAGTGAATGTAGTGTTTATAATCCTGTTTTTATCCCAGTCTCTGAAGGGATGCATTTACCTTTCTTCTTTCTATAGAAGCCCGGAATGGGGGCCCACACCCAACCGTGCGTGTCCCCTTTTTAATGTCTGATGCTTTTGAAACACTGCTTAGTGTTCACTAGGTGGACTATACTCCCTGAAATGAACAACCCATGAGAGAGAGGAGTAAGAAACATTGTACCATGTAGGGCTCTGAGTTTCTTGTAACACAGTACAGTTGATCAAGGGCCAAGGTGTAGAGTTCCTTAATGCATGTATCTTCAGGAATGAAGGGGTTCTAACATGATAATACTTGAAAATAAAGCAATCACATAAAAGCATATTTAGTTTTAAAAAGGAAAACACACAACTAAAAGTATTGCTCCTGTTAAGTACACTATGTTATTCACGTTAAAAATCACTTTAACTTCTTGGTAGGGAATAGCCCGGTGTAGATATAACAGAATTGATCAGTTTCGTTGAGTGCCCTCTTAACAGTTGTCCATGTCTTGTGTTTCACATCATGATTAGTGTGGTGTTTTCATTTTTTTCTTCCCTAGTATGTTTTTCCCCACTTTTTTGAAATATTTATATTTTCCTTTAAAATTTTAAGGCACCTTAAAAAAGTTTCAAAATATTTTATATTATTGATTTTGTATAGCTAGTGATAATCTAAATTTTAGTTTGGTAAAAGATGATCGTTGGAATGGATACCAGGAACTTTGTAACTTAGTTTTCTCTTTGTTATTTGGTGTAGCCTGCCAAATGCCAGATCAAGTAATTTTTAATATAGTAACTTGTATCCTTTTAAAGTATGCATTCTTGAAGAGGATGATGGAGGTAAGTAGAAAATAATTTTGTGTAGTGACTTGTTTTTCTCCAGTTGATCTGTTATAAACCTCAACAGCCATATAGCTTTCTTTTGTCCAAATGATCTAATGGCATTTTCTAAACTTATCCTGCTGTGACTCTATGGGCCATCCTCATTCTGAGAGCCATAGCACGCTCTCCCTTTTAGTCAGTCAGTCAGTTTTAAGAGTGAGAATGTCAATAATATAGCAAAAACCTTGTGCAGAATCTACAGCTTTCAAATATATAGATTTGGTGCAAACTTTGATAACATAATTATTAATAGTAATAAACTATTTGCAGTACACTTAATGATTGGTTGCTCTACATTGTGGTGTAGTGACATCATGGTTAAAACCAGTATTTGCAACATGTGGCCCCTTTCAATTTTAGTTTAAAGTAAAAGAGTTCAATGACTTTTTTCTTTTGAAGAAGAAGGATTTTTAGTTACATCTTAGAAAACTGAAAACTTGGTTTTGTTTTTGTTTTTTTTTGTCTTGCGGCTCATTTTCATTGTTGATTACTAATTCACGTGTCCAGCTAATTCAGATTTCTCATGCATCTGACTTACATATTTTTGTAATCCCTTCTGTAAGAGAGGCTCTTCTCCACCTTTCATATAATGGTGAAAGAACCAACCCTCCTCTGTAGGGATTGGAAGTGCAGAGGTCAAGGTGAATGAAGCCTTGGTGCCTCTCCCCACCCTCTGTGGTGGTTCTTTTTTCTGGAGTCCCATGGCATTTTATTCATATCTGTATCATTCATTATACTTATGCATTATAATTTTTCTGTTTATACATATCTGTCTTCCTTGGAGACTTCCAACATTTCAAGACCTTTGGGCACATAGTATATGTTTAAATATTTAAGCCAGTAAATTAAGATCTTTTGTTGAAAGAGATCTAAATAAATATCTCCTTAGCACATTCATGCAGGCATTTGAGAGAGAGTTTTGTGTGTGTGCTGAAACAGCCCATGGACCATTTTTCCAGGCTCAATACCAAATTTCAAAAGTTATTCACTGATTCACAGAAATCAAAGAGATAATTATCTTTAGTTTTCAAATTTGTGGAGAATGGGGGCAGGATGTCTAGATGTGTATAAGGAATTGATTATTCTTATTGTGTCTTTGAAACATCAAGCCCCTTATCTTTCTCTGAAAATGTAAATGGCCAAGAGGAGTGATATTTAGGAAGGCAATTTGGGGACAGAAAACCCTGGAGGAAACTATGTGGAAGGAGAGGTGGTAGAAACATGGCAGAGACTTTTTATATAGAAATCCTAAAAGTCATGGTTACATGCTGGCTGAAAGCAGTGTAACCCGCCTTTGCTCCAGAAAAGATTTGAGCAGCATATAAATATCTAAGGTATACAAAAGGATTACAAAGGAAAATAAATCAAACTGAAAGGAATTTAGGATGGAAGAATAAAATGAAGCCAGGGGTAAGGTAGCACACAAATGTATTGCAGAAACACTTGGAATTTTCAAAGGTAGTTGGAAATTTTTCCTCAGGTTTAAAGCAAAGAGGGAAATGGGGACAATTCTATAATCATCCCCTGTGTCCATGAGGTTAAAAGCAAAAGTATTTCAGAGAAGCCCTTTTCTGGCCTTCTATATATAAAAAATAAGTGTTTCTGATGGTTCCTAATAAGATTGTGTGTGATGCAATGCAAACAGTATCATCAGCTCATTTCCAGATGTAGCTGAATGCTTTAACAAATATTCAATAGGGGTAATGAAGAAATTCTATAAGGAACCCAGGAAGAGTTTTATAGTGTTCTATTTCTCAGCTTCCCACTTGATCAAGGGATAAAATGTGCTAGAAAAGACTAAAAGATTGACCATGTCTCCTATAGATGATGATGATGATGATGATGATGATGATAATAAATTAATAATAATAAATTCTTCTTTGTTTATGTAATTTTGGCTTGCATTTCTCTCTTATATATGCAAGCTAAAGCTTGTATGTCCATATCCTATGTTGGCAATGAGGGGCATATCCATACTGTGAGATAATCAAATAAGCAGAACATAGAGTTGGGCCCTTTTAGGAAAATTACGTGTTTAACTCTATCTTCATTTATGGAAGGACATGGTATACTAGAATTAAAAACATCTCCCATAAGTCATACTATTTAAATAAAGTTTAATAAGTTCTCTCTCAATTAAATTGACTAGACTTGAATCAAATTGATGTATATACCATTAGAGAAACTGCATTTTAATAATTTTATGTAAGTGCCTTTTTACTTACAGTGTAAAACTTTGGAGACTGCTCAATTCATTTTTAAGAGGCATACTTTATATGCTTTAAAAGGGTGATTTAATTTATTTTCCATTCATAGCAGGGAGGCATATCCTACTTATTTTCTTTCTCCCTATAAATGTAAAACTCATCCAAGTATGTTTTGTTTTACAAGTCATAGGCTTATTTTGTGATGATAAAGAAGAGTTCATCTCTGAAACATGTTTAGAATTGTGGGGAGCCCAGAATTTTAGATTATCAATTATTTAGGACACTTAAAGTTTTGTCAGGAATGTTCTTTCTCCTACTTTGCTTCACAGTGATGTTTGTTTTGTTTTGGTTTTAAAAACAGTCTAGTTTCTGAATTCTTAAAAAGGGAGAGAGAAGGAGTTGGCAGTTTTAAATGTACCTTTGAGAGAGCTCTCACTGGGTTACTCTTTAAAAACAACCATCCTGGTTGATGAATATGTAATGGGAACTGTCAGTTCTAGAGCTGAGTGGAAGGCAAGTCCGGAAAGCCCCTGGATGCTAGAAGAGTCTAGTGTTGGTAACAAGTGTCATGGGAGTTTGTACCTGAGGTGACCATTCTAAGAATGTTAGAACTAAGTGGATTTCTCAGATTCACTTGCCCAGTGACCCTAGCCTTGAGCAGATACTCAGAAACCAGCTTACTTACCATTCGCTGCAAACATGCCATTTTCTCTCTACTCACACCACTCTGTGCCATATCTCATGCTTCTCTTTATTCTCCCCTTCCTATGCCTTCTTTGGTTTTTTTCTTTCTTATTTGCCTTCTCCTTAATTTTTGTTTTTCTTTTCTCTTAGTTCTCTTCATTTTACCTTTTGTTTTTGCAGTACAGTTATTCTGTGCATCTTTTTCATCTTAAAATCTTGACACTCTAGAACTCCTATGCTTCAGTTTATGATTTTGAAGAGAGCATTTTGCCATAAATTTCTCTTAGATGGTTTCTCTTACACTGATTCAAAGAAATAAGTATAGTGGAAGAGGGGGGTGGGGGAATTAATTCATTTCAGGCACCATTTATAATTTGACAGAGGGAAACTAAAAGTTTGGGAGGAGGGGGATTCCAAAAAGTGACTGTCTTTCTAGTTCATTGTTCTGGTAAACTGTATGCATTCTTCTTTGCCATCAGAGCCCAGAGGTTTGCTTTTTAGGGTAGGTCACCAGGCCTAGGGCTATAGGGGAAACGCTAGGAAACACTGTGTGTATTTCTAATGCAAAGAACTGTTGGTGTTCTGCCGGGAGATCCTTTGGATTCTCCCTGCGCTATCTAAATAGAAAGAAGAGGAAGAAAAGTGTTCTCTGACAATACAAAGCCCCAGGACCTTATCTAGAGTCTACTGTGTTTGGGGATTTGGAGGTAACTAAAACCAAAAGTGTTCCAGGGTTTGGATTTGCTAATATTAACTGCTGGTTGGCTTTGACGTTAGGATCCTTATTCAAAATTGGCTAACTCTGCTGTTAAGGTCAGAGTACAGATTTGTCGGTATAAGAAGGAAGAATCCCTTTTCGATTACCTCAGTGAAGTTGAATACTTCTCTGGGAAAATGCTTTGTGTTTTAAGGCCACTTGTTAACATTCTCTTGCCACAGTGACATCTGTTGGTAAGTGACTACTTCATGCTGTTCTCAAGGATTTTTGTTTCGAAAGATACACCTTAAGCCGAGCTGCAGGAAGCAGCTAAAGGCAAAGTGATGTATTTGCCCCTTATAAAATCCTTACTCCTCTTTTCCCTTTCCCAGGATACCCCCTTTCATGGTTTGATTGTTCTTTTGGTCACTCCTTCCATTCACTCCTACAATGAATCAGCAAATATTTTAAGCACCTACTGTGTGCCAGACACTATGCTAGATGCTGGGGATATAAGGGGAAAAAAGTACAAAAATCCCTGCCTTATGTGCTAGTGGAGTAAGAGAATTAAAATTAGGAGGCAAACAAGTGGATTATGTAGTATATCACGTGATGTTCCATATTACAAAGAAAGTAAGAGGGAATGAGGAGTGCTAGCGGTGGATGGGACTGCCGCTTTATTAAAACGAGTGCTGAAGTCTGGAACAAAGCCCTAGAGAAGGGCCAAGGCAGGGGGGGGATAGGCAGAGACCCTGTGGAGGGAACATGGCAGCATGTTAAAGGGTAGCGAGAAGGCTGGTGTGGCCACAGCCCAGTGAGCAGGTGGGGAAAGGCAGAGGTGGTCAGACAGGTCAGGGACTGTGGACAGATGAAAGAAGGTCATTGGGCCTGTGCAGAAACTGTGCTTTAGTCTCAGTGAAATGGAAACTTTCAATGTAGTTTAACAATATGTTATAAAATTTAGTTATTATTATTATTTTTTAAGATTTTATTTATTTATTGACAGAGATATAGTGAGAGAGGGAACACAAGCAGGGGGAGGTGGGAGAGGGAGAAGCAGGCTTCCCGCGGAGCAGGGAGCCCGATGCGGGGCTCGATCCCAGGACCCTGGGACCATGACCCGAGCCGAAGGCAGACGCTTAACGACTGAGCCACCCAGGCGCCCCAGTATGTTATAAAATTTAAATGATAGGCACCTTTTATTTTTCTATAGCATTGTTACATGTATCAACTAAAATGCTGCTAAAATAGGAATTAAATTATCCTCAAGAATGACTGCTATTTCTTGTCAAGTGTCTGGTCTTCATGCCAGTTGGGGGTGGGGAGCGGTGTGACAGGAGACAAGCTCTAGTCTTCAGCTTCCCACCAATTGCTTATATTATGTGCCTCTGATTTCTCAGCTGTAAAATGTGAACAGTAGACACGAGGAGTTGTTCTCAGACTCTACTCCGTGGAGCACTGGGGATTTCTGAAGGCCCTTTTGTTTTTAAACTTTCACGCAAGCTTCATTTAGAAGAAATCTGTCCCTTAGCTTAAAAAATAATCCTGGAATTGGTTATCCCTTAGGTTTTCCAGCAGGAATTTGCAGTCTCATAGACTCTTAAGTGACAAAGGGAGGAACGAAATCCCTTTAGAACCCCTTATTACTAATGCTTCTTGGTGGTGGTGGAATTAGAAGGTAATTTGTCAATAGTCCGATAAGACAATTGAATTCTGTCTTTCAAGGTTGGTGAGTTGGCTTCTTTCATTGTGCAGACTTTAGCTAAGTGAAAAATATAATAAGTGAATGTTTCAATAGGTACTTCCTGGCACAAAAAAGAAGCTGGCAATTGGGAACAACAATGATTGATGTGTCAAGAAGGACATGAGGCTATTCTAATTTTAAAAATAATGACATGTTAGTCATTATATGTGTTATATATACTGAAAAGTAGTCATGTTCTCCTAATACGGAAGTATAATTGGAAGATAAATGGGATGTTTTTGGTACTTCTGGTTAAAGATATGTTTTAGTTAGTTTTGTTTTCTGGGTGAGGAAATGGGGGAAATTTTCTTATTTAAGATACTGACTGTCTTCTTCTTTTCCAAACCAGAATCTCAGTCTGCTGTTTTGGAAACTCCAAAAAAATGTTCAGATGCTGTTCAGCAGGTAAGAAGAGCTTATTAGGATGTCGAATCCTACTCTCTTTCTTTCTTACTTTCTCTCTTACTTGTCTTAAAATTGTGACAGACTCTGATTTATTTTTTCATCTGCCAGCTAGCTTAGGTCGCCCTTATTTCTCTAAGCCTTTAGGGGAATCCAGTCATGTGGAAGGGGATGTTTTCTTCCATTTAGGCTTTGCAAAGAAAATCAACCTTGAAGTGGAACTGAGTACAGGCTTTTTAGAGGCTGCATCATTCTATATCTGGCCAAAGAGTTGGGCCTGACAGCAGCTGGTTCCAGCAGGAAATGGCGGCCATTCCGGATGTCACGTGGAGATGTGCCTGGCTGAACTAACAGTCACATGGATACGAGTTTTAAAAAAAAATGCCACAGCTTTTCTAAAATCAGATCATATTCTTAAGTTGCTTTGGTGGATGAAACATTAGGGTCTGTTTAATTTCCACAGAAACCTTTATATGGTTACTAAAAAAGCCAAATTTTATGTGTTTTTATCTTACGTCAAAATACTAGTAAAAAAAGACTGCAAGAAAGGAAAAACTTATATGTAATAGTAATTGTGGATAGCAGTTGTTCTTTTGGATACAAAACCATTTTTTTAAAAAATGTATTTATACTTTCTCCCAACAAATCTTTCGAAAATCACTTAGTTTTAGAAACTGTCAGTAAGAAGAGTCTGTCCTCCAGCGTGGTCTAGTAGAAGAGAAGACTCTCATCAGGTTCTAGGCCCAGCTCGGTTTCTGGTTAGTATGTAACAACATACTGAGCTATCTGGGACATAGTATTTTTCTCTGTAAAATTAAAGAATTTGATGGTTTTTTGAGAACTTTCCCAAGGTAAAAAATGGCTTCCCGGGTGCCTGGGTGGCTCAGATGGTTGGGCGTCTGCCTTCGGCTCGGGTCGTGGTCCCGGGGTCCTGGGATCGGGTCCCGCATCGGGCTCCCTGCTCCTTGGGAGCCTGCTTCTCCCTCTGCCCCTCTCTCTCTCTGTCTGTCTCTCATGAATGAATAAATAAAAAAGTTTAAAAAAAAAAAAATGGCTTCCCTTTTAAAAAGCGGCAGTCCTGCATTGTACATGGAAAGTTGTGCTCCCCCTGGAGGAGAAGTGAGAGTATAACATTGGTCAAGAACTTTATTTTAAAACTTACTCATATTTAAAAAAAATACACCTATAAAGTTATTACAATATTACTGACACATGCACTATACTTTTCATCCCTATGACTTATTTATTTTATTACTGGAAGTTTGTACCTCTTAATCCCCTTCACCTGTTTTACGTATCTGAAACTAATATGTCAACTATACTTCAATTAAAAAAATTAATAATTGGGGCGTCTGGGTGGCTCAGTTGGTTAAGCATCTGTCTCTTGGTTTCAGCTCAGGTCATGATCTCAGAGTCCTGAAATTAAGGTGGGGCTTGGAGCCTGCTTAAGACTCTCTCTCTCCCCCTCTGTGCTGTCCCACGCTGCGTGCGCGCTCTCTCTCTCTCAATTAAAATAATAAAGATAATAATAATTCAAAAATGTAGATACATTGGCCATTATTTTAACATTAAGGACACTCTTAAGGGTAGTGTCATAAAACATGTTCTTCTAGTTTTTTTTTTTTAAAGATTTTATTTATTTATTTGAGAGAGAGAATGAGATAGAGAGAGAGAGAGCACGAGATCCAAGAGGGTCAGAGGGAGAAGCAGACTCCCCGCTGCGGGGCTCGATCCCGGGACTCCAGGATCATGACCTGAGCTGAAGACAGTCACTTAACCAACTGAGCCACCCAGGCGCCCAGTTCTTCTATTTTTTTGTCAGAGCAGAGACCTACATGAGGCCAGGGCACTTGGAGATGGGGAGATGGTTGGTGTTCTCAGCTGATGGTTATTTAATTTACTGTGTAATGATTAGCCAGCAGTATTGAGATGAAGAAAGCTAAAAAGAGGTAAAGTGAAATAAATTCAGAAATAATTAAGAAAAACAGTGCCCTCAAAATATCCTCTCATTTTTTACAGGTTTTTTTTTTTTTTTTTTTTTGAGGCGTGATAAGTTGTGATCTGTGATAATATATTAGATTTTTCTAAATTCTTACTTCCAGGGCATATGTTACTGAATTTTTGTTATATATGATAATGCCAAAGAAAGCCTCAACAAAACATAATCTATACTATCAAATGATAAGCATGTGCAACATTGCTCTATATATTAAGACTCAAGATATCCATGTGGGTAAAATTACAGTGATTTTTCTATTTCTCTTGAACTGTGAACCATGGTAAAATATATTATAATAAGCAGAAAACCTGATGCACTGGGTGATTTACAAATGCTTGATGTTACAGCTTTGGAAACTCAAGGGTGAATTAGATTGGTTTAAATTTCACATCTTCTTTCCTTGTTGCCAATGAACTCTTAGAAGACAGAAAACACAGTTACTTGAGAGGAAACAATATTTGGAAGCAGCTGAGGTTAAGTCCTCAACAATGACATCGCTTACTTTCTTTGTCATAAGTTTACTTATGGATTGGTTCTTTTCTTAGATATGCATATGTTTCATAAGTGCTTAAAGTAACTGGCCATCAAAGGGATACAGGAAACTAGAATTAATTACCAATCTACTGTGCACGTACTCTTTTACTGTATTATCTTATGCAATTCTTACAGTAGTCCTTTAAAGTAACTATTATAATTCATACTTAACTCATACAGAAAAAGATGTTTATAGTAGTTTACTTCCTTTCCCTCACTTTCACAAAATTAAGAAAGGGTTAGGAGCCAGGATTTGAATATAGGTCTCTTTGATTTTATACCTCATATTCGCTACACTATGATAAAAAATTATACTTTTACGTGAGGAATTGCCCGATGGCTATTGCTAAAATCATTAGATTGGTAGATGAGAAGTTTATTTTCCAAGTTATGCTATTGTATTTAAACTCTATCATATTTAAGGGTCAGATATCAAGATATGTTTCAGAGGCACGTAGAGAGACTCATTAGCTTACCTGTACGTTTTTAAGTTTTAGTATAACTTTGGTATGCTAAATTGTGCCAATTTTGCTAACTTCAGTGTTTCACTGCTCTTTAAAAAGAAAAAAAAACCTTACAATTTTCGTGTAAAGCACCTTGCTTTTTTCTTCTTAGTCACTAGATGGCAGTTCTGTATCTCTGTAAATTACCACTACTGAAGGAAATGCGAGGTTTTAAGCCAGTTTGTTCTGTATGAGTGATGAACAGAAGAGGGTTTCTTGTCCATCCCAGGCTGCCTGCGTTATTCTGTGGTGGTAATGCGAGATCTCTAGGACTGCTTAGTCAGAGGCATGGAGCAGGGTTGGAAAGCGCCCTCTTAAGTTTTTCTTCAGATGTGAGTTCAGGCACCTGTTCTCTCAATCTGAGCACACTGGAATTTATTGAATGAGTTTTGACTTTTACTCTCTCCCTGTAGTTAATAATTCCGAGAGCTCCATATCCCTAGAAAAAAAACACATGACTCATAAGGCCTTTTCTCAACTAAAAGGAGGTAGAGGCTGTGGTGTTGCCAGAGAATCTGATGCTTAAAGCAAATACAGCTGACATTCAAGCAAAAAAGCTATCTATGGCTTTCTCCCTGAGGGCTTTTATTGACGGCCCTATGGAATTAGAAGGTTTTCAGATAAAACTACATTATTTAGGACCTCATTTATTGATTATTTATTTTCAAGTGATACACTCTGAAAATCTGCTATGTCGAAAGGATTATTTCAAAGAACTGTAATAGGACTCTCTTTCAATTCTCTTTTATATTTTTTGGTATTTGAAATACTGAGGTGTAAACCGTTTCATATTCTGCAATATATAATTATCTCTAAAAATGTTTGTTCCTATGTTAAAGATTAATATACAATAGCAAAATGGGTTACTGCCAAATTTTTAAGTTATTTTTTGCCTTTGAAATTATAATTGACCCTTGAACTACGTGGGTTTGAACTGTGCAGGTTCATTTATATGTGGATTTTGTTCCCAAAAATATAGTACTATAAATGTATTTTCTCTTCCTTATGATTTTCTTAATAATATTTTCTTTTTTCTAGCTTAGTTTATGGTAAGAATGCAGTATATACTGCATATGACATACAAAATATGTGTTAACCATCTGTTTATGTTATGGCTAAGGCTTCCAGTCTATAGGTAGTTAAGTTTAGGGGGAGTCAAAAGTAATACATGCATTTTTGACTGTGTGGGTGGTTGGTGCCTCTAACTCTCATGCTGGTCAAGAGTCAACTGTACGTATAAAATTGTGTTTTGAAGCATTTTCCTAAAACTCCTCGCACCTTTCTAATGTAAATGGACTAGATGAAAGGTACATAGAATAAAACTTGATCTTTTAAAAATTCAAGCTTTGGGTAAAAACTATCAGGCAAACGAAAGTAGTCTCTCTACACATTATGGTTTTTATTAATTGTGAATAGCCACATCTATTACTAAGTCCTGGATAATAAAAAGAAATTAAACAGTATCAGCACTCTTACCCCATATGTTGGATGATTTATATGTAAATAAATTCTCAAAGGTCAGCAAAATGCTTATGACTTGAGATGACTGGCAAAATCTTATCTCAGTCCAATTTTAACCTCCTTTGAAATTGGCTTACAAACTCTTCTCTTAGGATCCTGCTCTGATCAGCTCCTGGGTCCCCTTGATGCCTAATTTGATTGCAAACATATTTGAGGAATTAAATATTCTTTCCCATTGGTTCTCCTTAAAGTGTCTGTTATATAGTGCTCTTCATACAATAACCACTCAGTACAATTTATTATTAGTTTCAGAAACATCTTTTTTTGGGGACAAATCAAGGAAACAGATGTGAGTAATTGTGAGGTAGCCTAGTTGATGGTGCTTGAGGGATTACTCACATATGTCTTGGCATCGAAAAGTTTAGAGAATAAAAGAAGTATTGGTCAGATCAAAAGGAAGTATTGGTCAGATCACTGAATATTCACTCAGTGGGGTGAATATAATT